ACTTTTGGTAGAAGTACCTAGTGATTAAAATGGTGGATTTTTAAAAAAAATACAGCCTATTTTTATTTGAATTTGAAAATAAAATTTTGATGAATTTCTCTGTATATTACAAAAATATTCTAGTAAATAAATAAGTTGATAAACCATAATGAAAAAAAAAAAGAATAGCGAGCAGAGTCTGATATTGTGCTAGCTTCAGTATGGTTCTTTGATTTGGTTTGGCATCCTGGGTTTGGGATTCATTTGACAATTAAAATCCAGCTACAATAAGTAATGCTTAAATGGACCATTTTGTAAGACCATAATCTAAAAATTTTCATCAATAATTAAAAATTATTGCTGAGACATGTTCACATACATGAATTGCAGAATAAGACACTCTAATAATGGACAAATGGCTATGATGCCAGAAAAATCCCATGGTTCTTAACCAGACTTAATATCCATCAAACAGGTGATGCTTAAATAAATTGCTTCCCTTAAAAAGCTGTGGTAGAAAACTTTTTGTCTGAATATCCCCAATTTGGCAGCTCCCCAAAAAGTTCTTTACTCACCCTAGAAAACTATAGCTAATGTTAACAAGACAATGTTAAGTTTTATGAATGATGGCTTGATTCAGTATGTTCCACCAGTCCGAAAGATGTATGTATGTATTTATTTATACATACATATGTACACATACATACATACATACAATTTCTAGGGCCTCATCCTGAGATGAGATTGTCTTTATAATCTCTATGGTACCAGTCCCAAGAATTAGGGCATAGACTACATCCATAATCCATTCTATGCCACTTGCTAGCTGAAGAATACCTGATCTGCAGCACTGCTGAGCTGTGCTGCCTGCTTACCAGGGAGCCTCTGCAATGGACTCAACCTGATGCAGTCCAATTTGGCAACCATCTAGGGAAGCACTGCGCCAGGGTCCAGTCACTTCATTTACCATTGGGCCAGTTGTCTCTGCTGTGATAGCTGTTGCCACCGTTGCTGGTCCTATTCCTCCCACCAGCTCAAGCAGTTGTGATAGCACTGAACAAGTTGGTCTTTAGACCAGTCTTCAAAATTCCAGCTGTTGCAACTTCTCTACAGTCATGTGATTATGATCTAGGTGCTTGGCGACTGGATCACATGACAGCCATTTGTGACCGCTGGCTTGTCCCAAGTAACGTCAATGTGGAAGGGGACAGGGAAAGTTGCAAATTGTTCCTTTAAGTCATTCCCACTGCTCTTGAGCCCCATTACTGTAAGATCTCGAGGATCACTAGTGCCACAGCATCTTTTTCCATCCATATACACTAGTACTGTAACCCCTCCACCCTCCCGACTCACTCTAGCACTCACTCACCCACTGGCCTGCTTGCAAGCCTCTTGGGACTTTCAACATCCTCCCAGCTTCCCCTTTGCTTGTGGGAAGCTGGCAAGAAGTTGCTATTTGGGAGGTCCTCACTTAAAGAAAGCAACAGAGACTGGATTGCCATTGCTAAGCAATATAATCATGATGTGCTTAGTGATGGGAATTCCAATCCCATTTCCCATCATTAAATCACTTGTATGGATTATACTGAAACTTTTACAAAATAGTTTTAAGTTTTATTTCTGGAGTTCATTCCTTCTGAGACAGGAAGCCCTAGTCTGATCTTATCTGGGTTTTAAGGAAGAGAATGTCCTGGAACAACCTCTTCAATTGGGATTTATCTTTTACAGCAAGAAAGCATCGTCCATAGAAAAGGAGGATAAAGAATATGATTTTTGCACGTTTTCCTTTAACTCCATGTTTTTGAATTGAAATTATGAATGTTCATCCATAGTAATCTTTAAATTGCTTAGTCATATTCCATGTTTCTCAAACAAATTAAGGGTGTTCCCAAAATGGAAAACCGGCTTTATTTCAAACCTAAAACAAACATCGCTACCTCAAACTTTTCACAAACCATTTCAGATGAGCTGCAGCTTGGTAGAAATAAAACTTGGATTGTGGGTGGTGTTCTGGGTTTTGCCTGAAACAAAAGTCATGGGACTCGCCGAGTAATTCTAAACACTGAATGTGACAAGGACGGTATTCAGTTTCCCCTTTTCTATTTTCTTCCGTGTTGATATTGCATTACCCCAATACATGTATTTTTATGCTGCAGAAAGCTACCAATTTTAATCATTTGGGGTGCTGACAACCCCTTATTTCTATATATGCATTTAGGAGCAACAAAAGGTCTTAGATACTGAAAAGTGGGAGATATTACAAGCAGGCTGTCCAGCCTATTTCTTTTATAGATTTCCCAGCTAACATGACTGTTTCTATAAAAAAATTAAAAAGGTTTTATTCACAATTTCTACGTATTATTCCAACAGTTCTGTTAGTGCTACCAGTACTTCATAGTTCACTGCTTCAGAGCAGAGCAGTGTCATATACTTAGACATTCAGACTTTCCTTATCAACAATTATGCTTCTCTACTATAAGGAATGTGTATCACACTATTCCCCTTGCTATCCAAATCCCCAGAATCACAGATTATTCCTAGCATGGGGGGGGAAGGGGCAGGAACAGTTTGGTCTAGTGGTTAAGGCACCAGGCTAGAAACTCAGAAACTGAGTCCTGCCTTAGGCATGAAAACTGGTTAGGTGACTTCGGGTCAGTCACTCTCTTAGTTCAACTTACTCATAGGGTTGTGAGGAAAATAAGAGAAAGGAATATAAGGTATGCCTCAAGTTATTTATAAAAAATAATAAAGGATGATAAAAAAATATCTTTAAAAATTAGTCATGCTCTACAGTGAAAGGCAGAAACAATTTCTAAGCAACAAAGATAGCTAACAAAATTTAAATAGAGCCCTACCCTGACATAATGGTAACCTCATACACAGATCTATTTCAATAAGTGGGAATGGGAACCACCAGACCTGGGCATCAAATTAAGCATTGGACACGGAGTAGAGTATGATTGGCAGATGGATGAGTTACTTGTTCTCTTTCCACACTGAACCCATGGCCCTTTCAGAGTTCTGAATGTAAACAGTAGTCCGTCTTGCTGGGGCAGACTTCTGTTGGCTCACAGCCAGGGTTCCTAGGAAGAAATTGTTTTGACAACCGCGGTGCTCTCACAAGAAATTGAGCCTTCTCTGAATGTTTTCCTGGCAGTGTCAGATGAAACCCTTCTTCCCCACCTTTGGGCTTGTACCAGTTTTAAACTTCTATTACAGAAGACAACTTTTAAATCTGCCTTTTGCAGTTAGTTTGATTTGCAATTGGAAAGAGGATTATGTGTGTGCAAGTTAAGATTCAGAGACTATTATTGTGCAGTAACAACTATATAAATTTTGGTTTGGCAATAATTGATCTCTTCTGTAGGATTAAAGGACCTATCACATTAATTCCCTACTTGAAACTTTTAAGACATTCTAGGGATTCCTGTATTCTTGAGTTTTTTGCTGGCAGGGTTAGTGATCCTCTCATGGTCGTGTCATGCTGTAGAACAGTAAGATAGAAAATAGGCATCTTAAATGTCTACTGAGGATGTAGAAGTTGAAAAGTTGTTTTGACTCTCAAGGAAAATGAAATAAGCAGCTAGACTGCTAGAAAATGGGTTATGAAAGCCTATGAATGTGAGTAAATATGAATGTATTATTTATTTACATTTATTAAATTTGTTTGCTGCCCATCTCGCCATAAGGCGATTATTATTTTGTCTGCTCTATCACAGCCAAAGAAAGAAAAAGTACAGCCAAAACCCACTTACTTTCCTATTACTAATACATCCTTAAAGAACTATTCTGTAAATTTAACCCAGATGAAACTTTGTTCATTTTTAAAAAATTGCTAAGGAGGGCATTGCAGACATTTGTAAAATTTTATGTCTAACAATGCTTGGAAAGATGTCCAAAGCACCATTGGTGTTTGGAGAAATAGTTTCTGAATCTTAGGCACAAGTATGATGCCTGTTTCTATCCAGTCCCTTATACTTGATCCCTGCCAATTTGTCTATTAAGGTCTGGATGTTAATGATGTTGGAAATGGTAAATATGTCCGGTAGTGCTCTCCTCCTTTGCAAGTGTTACAATCCCTTTTAAAGGCATACTAGATGTAGAAATATTTGAGAACCACCATTGTGTCACAACTATCATGCTTTGTGGCCAATTGCTTAATAGGGAAATGGAAGATCAGCTTCACACTTTCTTGCAGGATAACAATTCTCTGCACCTACTTCATCAGGTTGTAAACCACATTTTTTTACATTAAAATTGCCTTGGTCTTCTCAGCATTGGGAACTGCAGCTCTGTGCAGTTGGTCCTAAAATGAGATGCTGTATTTCTAAGGCTGCTAGGTAACATGCCTTTGATATTATCTAAGAAATTTAATGTCATGTATATTGAAATTAAGTCCTCTCGTTATATTTATATTTCAGCGTTGAAAGCAGATTACTAAAATAGTTTAGCTCCATTTCAGATATGATTGGACTACTTTCTAAGGTCAATTTTATATATATATATATATATTTTAAAAGTGAACATTCCTGCTTTCTATATAGCATCCACTGTAAAGACAAAACATAGCTTAATTTAAGAGGTTCATACTGTGCTATAGGATAAATGAAACACTGGGATTTTCTTCTAGATCACTAAAACTTTTCTCATTTATAGTGTCTGCAACTGTCAAAGTTTAATACTGAGCACATTGATAGGTTCCTTGTGCCCCTTGTTATTTAAAATTTAACAAGTTGTATTTATTTTTCTTTGAAAAGGATCCATTTCCCTGAGGTTGGGCAGCATCCACATTCAGTAAAATAAATAAAATCCATCTGTCCCAAAACTTCATGAATTGTGACCCCGTATTAAAGCAAATCACAAGTGATATTTGCACTTAAATCTAACATGTGGAGGAACAAACATGCATATTGAAGATATGGTGTTTCTCATTAGTTACAATCTCAGTCTTACCCAAGAACAGTTTATTTTTCTACACTTATTTAAAATATCAGAAATATAACTATTAATACAATTATAGCTAAAGGAAATTTTTTTTATTAATTAAAAGTACAAATTCTGAAACCTGAAAAACCCATTACAAATTTTAAAATTTAAAAGCATGAATGAGAGAATCAATACTGAGGATGGAAATAACAAATTTAAAAAAAACCTACTCCCTGATCATCATGCAGCTGCTATACACCATATATGGTATGACTAACAGAAAAGAGGCTACTAATGTACATTATTTAAAATATATCTTCTACCAGGCTCTTATGCTGTATGTTTATGTTGAACCAACTACAGTTAAGGATGATGACAATATTTACTTGGAAACCACATTTATAGTTTATATGTATTCCTTTTTAGTAATCTCATTTTATGTGGCAACAGCTAAACATCTCTTTTCGCAACATGAAAGCATGTTAAACAAGTCCATTAATCTTTATAGCAAACTCGTTAAACTATTCTGAAGAAGCTGATAGGTCCTGCTGCTTTTGGTCATTTAATCATTTTCACTGCCGTTTGCATGAACTAAAAACTGCCAGATTAGTTCATTATCAAGCATAATTTCATTTTAAAACTCTCCTTTATGATAATTTTGTCAGATAATACCAGATTATTTACTGTAAAGTTCTCTCTCACTACTATTTAATACTATTATGTCTTCCAAGAAAAACAAAGGCCTCAGTGAAATATGTATGTAAAATAGCAACCAGTTATAACATCATTGTTGAAGAACTATAATGCTCTTGTTTGAAGTGACAGGCTCAAATCTTTGTGGAACTAAAACCAGAACCCCTGGGAGATCTATTGCAAATGCTGATTGTTAAAAAATTGTTTAGCTTTATGAAAACTGAGATGATGTAATATAAATTTTAAATGTTAAGACTAGAAATATATGCTTCCCTATCCGTCAAGATAATCTCTCTCTAATTAAAGGAGTTAATAAAAATATGTTTTATCTTTCCTAGTCATGCTATTTGAAATATTAGAACTGAGTAGAAATTGTTAGATGTTTCATCTAATTTTCTTTTTCATAAGGAAACATTTAAAAATATTTAGTCTCCAATATTTGTTCCTAACAAGAAAAGCAATTTAAAATAGTTTTTGGATAATTAGCATTGTATTATTTTAATTAATAGTGTATAAAAATTATGGATGTGAGGACAACAAAGATGTGACTAGAGTAAACAAACCATCAAGTCAAGCCAAACTCAACCCTGATATTTGTAGTTTAGGGTTGAACTGTAGGGTGCCATCAAAACTTGTTTTCTTGCAGACATTTCATTACCCAACTAGGTAACACCATTGGTAGAAGTGAGTGAGGTTTGTTTTCTGTTTATGTACAAGTATCTTGCTCTATCAATGTTGGTGGGGGTGTTCTTAGTGATTGATGATGTTACCTAGGGTTCATTACCTTGGGTAATGAAATGTCTGCAAAAAATCAAACAAGCTCAGATAGCTCTAAGGATCTCACAGTTCACCTCAATTCTCACACAATCTTTACATGATCTTCTGTTGGCAAGAGATTACTCTTGCATGCATATTGAGAATTGAACATTTGTCCAAATAATACAGGCTGTTACTGGCCTATTTGCAATGCTAGATAATTTCTGACACTCTTGACAAAAGACGTTGATATCAACTAAACCTTAATTGAACATCAAGTTAAAATTAAATCCATTAGAATTCAGATATTTTTCTTAACAGGCAAAAAGTTGTTATCAAAAGCAAAAATATTATTTAGTTAAATCAGGGGTATATCATAGTGTTTTCTACTGCTATGTGCAATCTTTTACTTAAGTCTTGATAAATTATCTGCAAAGTATCAAAAATATATGGAAAAACGATTTCATTTATGAATGTTAATATATGTTGGCTAAAGGTAACAGTAAGAAAAATCAAAGAAAGTAATATAATTGCCAAAGGACTGAAGGACCAGAAGGATTTTTTAGCTGGTTTAGTCTCATTGTCACAATCCTGGGTACGTAATTTTTGCTTTGAAATTAGCTTTATTTTGGGAATGAGAATTTTGTTAATCTGATTAATTTCACTTTTGCTCCACACATCTTTTAACACCTGTCCTATTCGAGGATGGATTTCAACCGGCTTAATCATTGGTAATGGTTTTTCCCTTAAAATTTTAACACGCTGACGTATTTCCTCAACTTTCTCCAGAAAATGAAGAGGAGACTCCTCCTCTTGAAACGATGTATTCAGTGACATTAGTTCAAGTTGTTCTTCTCGTATTCCTTTCAACATTTCTATGAGAGGTTCATATTCAGTCTCAATTTGCATATTTACATCATCCAGAGCTGTAAGCAAAGCTTGTTTTTTCTGATCAAGGGCATCTCCGAGTCTCTTAAAATATTGCAAGACTGTTTTTTTATCCTCCTGAACAATGTTCCCACACTGCGCTTTCTGTTCCTCCAGACTCTGAATAAGCAAACAAACTTCACTCCAATGTTTATCTGTCAACTGCTCAAGGAGTCTTCCAGGAGTTTCTTTTTCTTTCATGTAGGCACTTTGTAGGTCATCTATGGGATGACCATGATGTTTTCCTATTGTAAGACAATGGCCACACACAAGTTTTCTGTCTAGTAGACAGTAAATATTTAGTGGTTGTCTATAATGCTCACTGCAGGTAGCAACTTCAGGATGATCCTCTTGTTGATATTTTTCAATAATAGCCTTTAATGCAAAGTTTACAGGCAAAGAGTCTGTACCAGATGGAGGAATTTCAACAATACTTCTACAGTTGGGACACTTCAGAGGAAGCCTTAGGGGGCGCCATATGGAAAAATTGCTTGATATCTGAAGAATACTTTCCAAACAATTTCTACAAAATGTATGCGAACATGGCAGTACACGAGGATCATCAAATATACTGTAGCAAATAGAACAAGTTAATTCCTCTTCAAAATAATGCATTTCCTAAAATTTAAAAAAAGAATAAAAGTGAGATACAGATATACAAAATATAGTTAAGAAATTTTAAAATACTGATAGTTCAAGGAAATTAGTTATTACATGATTTAAATGCAAATAAATCTTTTTTAAAATACAAGCAGAACTAGCCAAAACAATAAATAATACATGCTTAATTCCCACTTCATCTATTTAGTGTAGGATAGTATCTTAATTACTATTTATCTCTAATATCTATGTTTGTAGTAATTAGACAAACAAACAAATAATCCAAAAATGAACAAGCAATAGATATTAACAGGGAATGCTATCAACTTTGCATCTTATACACATTTCATCATCCCATTATTTTTTTTAAAAAAGTTAAATACTAAGCTTTTTAAGTTAACAGACAAAATTAAATCATGGAATAATAATTCAATAACATAATTCTGCTTTAGTTACTGTTTTAAGTCAAGCTTAATATTTGTGGGCATAGCCCAAGGCTTCAGAGAACAAAAACAATAGATAAAACTGCCACTATAAAAACAGATAAAAATCTACAAAGCTGAAGTATATTAATATCACAAAATCAAGGGCTATTTTTTAACTTCCACCAATAGAGGTGAATGCCTCTGAAATCCAATTGTTCAAGTAATTACGCAGGAGCAATCAAGGTTCAATTTGAGGTTGGTTTTTTGGCAGCAGAGGGTCCAGAATGCTGGAAAAAATTGATCTAACTACTATTCTTATAGATTGATTTTTGTAATTCACTTATCTTTGTTCACTTATCTATGCAGCAAAAACTTGATTGTTTCAAGAACTGTAGCATATTTTACAGAAAGGCAGCTATATTGGGACAATTGTAGTAGCGGTTTCAAGTGTCATAACTTTTTAGTGGAAAAGTTATTCTGTACACTACAGGTAGAACTATATACAGTACTCTTAAGCAAGACAACAAGGATTTTCAAATAGAAGTAAACAGATTTCACAACATTCTCAACCCTGCAGGCATATCTCAAGTGTCTTCACTTCCCACAAGTCAGCACTGAAACCTATAGCGGCTTTCCCACAATTTTTCTTTACTTTTCATAAAGCAGAAAAATAAAAATAAATCTTGCTATTCCACTCTTCCTCCCACTTCTGGCTCTAAATTCCATTTGCTTCCACAGAACATAGTGGTTAAGAACCTTATCTATGTGATGTCTAACATATCCATAATAACTAAGTCAATGGTGCCCAAGAAGAGGGGGAACACCAACCACACATGCAAGTGGCTGGCGAACCAATGAAGGACTAAGATATGTGCATGAGCTTATAGCATCAGCCATGGCTAAGATGTCAGTATTACTGGAGTAATACTTCTTGAGGAGGCAACAGATCCAACATATTTGATGGAAGGTCTAAACAAATTGGGATGGAGGGATGTTCTGATCTAATGGTTAACTCATACAGGCTGGTCTATATCATAGAGCCTTCTCAGAAAACATACTTTAGTCTTTGCTGATCTCCCTCCTAACCCTGTGAGGTGGATTCAGCTGAGGGCGAGTGACTAACCCAAAGTCACCTAGCCAACTCAATCTCGTGGTTTCAGCACCTTTATCAGTAGTCCTCAGATTCAATCCCCAAGCATCCAAACGTTTGACTACAACTCCCAAAATTCCAAATCACAGTGACCAAATAAACTTATAAACAATCATATGTTGTAAAGAACAGAAGACTAAGGAAACCTGTTTTCATATTCCTAATTAAGCTTCATCTGATTTATTAAGTTTTATCAGCGTATAATCACTGTTAATTGGTGATGGCCAACAATGCAGATAGGTTTAAAAGGACAAATTAATGCATGGGTGTCAAACTCGCCACGTCATGTTGATGTCATGTGACGTATTGTGACCTTTTTTGCCTTCGTGGAACTGGGATGCACGTGGCCTGTGTGTGATGCATCTGGCTCATCAGTTTGACACCCCTGATTAATGGAAGATCCAACTGGAACAGCTTTAGGTTTTAAAGATTCACAGATAGAAAATGGTAGAAAAGAATTACAGGCAGTCCTCAATTTACCATTTTTTTAATAACTATTTAAAGTTACAATGACTGAAAAAAGTGAACCATTTTTCTCACTTATTATCATTGCAGCATCCCCATGATCACATGATCAAAATTCGGATGCTTGGCAACCGGCATGTATATAAGTCATTTTATATATGGCATGTATATAAGAGTTGCACTGTCCTGGGGTCATGTGATCCCCATTTGTAACCTTCCCAGCTGGCTTCAAACAAGCAATGGGGGAAGGCTAGTAAGATGTTTTTGCTTTCTTTATAATAAAATGTGTTTATTAGAATATATCTCGGGTTTATTTTCTTAAGGTATACTTGCAAGGAAAGGCCACGATCCATTCTCTAATCAAGGTGCAATTACCCAAAAGCAGAATGGGATTAATTGCCACCCTGACAGATTTGCTTAATGATCACGATTCCCTTAAAAACTTTGACATAAAATGGGGCAAAACACACTTAACTGCCTTGCTTAGCTACAGAAATTTTGGGCTCAATTGTTATCATAAGGCAAGGATGACCTGTACCGCTTGCAAATTTTCTGAATACACCTAGTTGGCCATGACCAGCCAGAGAAAGCTGAACCGATACTACTCCCAAATTCAAAGAAGTGGAGGAAAGAAAACGGGAGTAAGGAAAAGTATCCTTACGAGTTACACCTGCTGGGATTGCCTCTTCTCCAGTCAGTTAGGTGTGAGGCGAAGCCTCCACCCCACCCACCCCCAGAGCATCTTGTCTAAAGAGACAGGTGATTGTGACAGTCACCAGAAGGAAAACTCACACAGGGCGAGAGATTAGCAAGGATGCTGAGGATCCCTGCCTTTAAGTAACCTGTCAGCTCCAGAAAACAAAGGATACTTTAACTGCAATTGAATATATATGTCAGAGGTCCTCAAACTTGGCAGCTTTAAGACTTGTGGACTTCAACTCCAGTATAGCTGGCTGGAGAATTCTGGGAATTGAAGTCCACAAGTCTTAAAGCTGCCAAGTTTGAGGACCTCTGACATATAGAGACGAACCATCCCAAAGGTGCTTCTTTTCAAGAGGCAACTGGGCTTTCTGGTTTTTCTTTGAAGACGTTTCGCTTCTCATCCAAGAAGCTTCTTCAGCTCTGCCAGTCAGCTTCTTGGATGAGAAGCGAAACGTCTTCAAGGAAAACCAAAGAAAGTCCAGTTGCCTCTTGGAAAAAAAAAAAAAAAGCACCTTTGGGATAACCCTAACCTGGATGACTGGGAATCTCCGTTGACCCATAGAGACGAACTGTCATCTTCCGATAAAACCTCCCCTTCGCAAACGAAGTTACTAGTGTGGCTCGAATTCTTTCAAAATCACCTCCGTCCCTCTCCGCTCACAGGCCACTGAGGGGCCGAAGAAGCAGGAAACCGTCCCTCGATTTCGTTCTTGAGCAGACAGGCACGGCGCCGATTCCACACACACCCTCCCGGCCGTCGGAGTTCACCTCAGCCTTCCCGCCGGATTCCCGAAGCGCCAAGGAGGCCGCCGGTTCCCCCAAACTTCTCTTGCCTCGGCGAAGGCGCTCCCCCACCGGAGACGGCATCGACGGCCTCCCAATGATGGTCCTCCAGCCGCCTCCAATCAGAAGCAACAGGAAAGGAGAAAGGAAACGGCCGGCCGCTTCGCTCCTGCGCACGCGCTGAAAGAAGCCGAGCGGCTTCAAGCCAATCAGAGCTTTCGGAAGGTTTCATTCAAAAAGGGAAAAAAATCGAGGCGGGAGGGTGGGCTGCGAGGCATTTCACCGCGAGATGGCCGTTAACGGTTTGCCCGGGTGGGCGGTGCTTGGAACGTAATTTGCATCTCTTTTGTTGTTTGGCCTCGCTTAACCGCCCGAGGTTGTTTTTCTACTGAGGATTGTCTGGAAGACTAAGAAACAAAACGCTCGGGTCTGTCTTTCAAACGCTCGAGATTTTAAAACGAGGGGGAAATTACACGCGCGCCCGAAAGCACGTCGAGAGGCTACAGAGTTTGTCTAGTGAAGTATGGTATGGTGATGATCGGTAGCAGTGCAACGAAACCGTTTGCCAGGCGCGCCTCTTGCTGCCAGGTGCCAGATCTTGGCTGGATCTGACACCTTCCTCATGAAGAACCTGGACTGCCCCAGCAAGAGCTCAGGTGATGCACTAGAAGCAGCGAGAGACCCGGGTTCAAGTACAGTGTCACTTCACTGGGTTGCTTTGGGCCAGTCATGCTCTCTGAGCCCAACTATCCCACGGGGGTGTTTATGGGGAAAAACCGAGGAAGAGGGGAATGCAAGGTAACCCCCATACTAAAGGATGACAACCTAAAAAAACAAAGCCTCTTGATTTGATTGGCATCCTTGATATTTTTTTCCAAGTATATTCAATTGATAAATTAATTTCACCTTTTGCAATAATTTTATTGAGGATGATATGAAATAGATAAAACAGATGCAAAAAAAAATTCGTAACCAAACAATACATTAAAGGGAAAAAAATAGAAAGTGCAGAACCCTCGCCCCCCAAAAAAGAGGGAAAACAAATTAAGGAAAAGAAAGCTTCCGCTTTATCCTCAGCAACATTATTTAACATTAACAATTTAGCACTATCTCCTAAAGTACAATCAGCTACATCTTCATTCCATATGCCACTCCATTATATATAAACTTAGTCTCTAAATCCTCAGTTTGTCTTATTAATCAGCAAAGGCTCAGTGTGCTAACAAAAATACTTACCAACACCACCTAGCAACATAAATATATTTTCCTACTTCTGTTTAAAATCTAATCTCTCTAATGACTGTCTATAACAGGGGTCCCCAACCTTTTGGACCTCAGGGACCACCAAATTCATAATTTTAAATCCCGTGGACCACTAATACAAATCCAGCGTTCAGCTTGCTGAAGCGCCTGGACTCCCAGTGATGGGGTCCTTCAGGCACTCTTCCTCCTTTCTCTCTCTCTTCCCTCTTTCCCTCTCTCTCCCCCTTTCTCTCCCACTCATTCTCTATTATTCTCTCTCTCTCATCTCTTTCTCTCCCCAGCTCATTCTCTCATTCTGATTCTCTCTCTCTGATTCTCTTTCATTCTGTCTCTCTCTCTCTGATTCTTTCATTCTGTCTTTCTCATTCTAATTCTCTTTCATTCTCTCTTTGTCTCTCACCCTTTCTCTCATCTTTTTCTTTCCCACTCATTCTGATTCTCTCTTTCATTCTGTCTCTTTCTCATTCTGATTCTCTCTCTCTCATTCTCTCTGATTCTGTCTTTCTCATTTTCTTTCATTCTGTCTCTTTCTTTCTCTCATTCTGTCTCTCTCACTGTCTCATGATTCTCCCTCATTCTCTCTCCCTCTCTTTCTCTCATCTCTCTTCCCCTTTCTCTCTCCCACTCTTTCTCATTCTCTCTCTTTCATTCTCTGTCTTTTTCTCTCTCACACATTCTCTCTCTCATTCTCTTTCTCTCATCTCATGGGCCAGCCAGTGTCTTGGGGCTGAGAGGAAGTCAAGCATCTCCCCGAGAGACCGAGGTGTGCAGAGCACCAACAAGAGCCGGAAGAAACGGCCGCGAGATCCTGCAAGAGACGAAGCTTCGCTCCCGCTCTGCACTATGGAGCGAATCTCCATCCCCCACCTTTCCCTTCTCAGGCCAGGCGAGGAGTGACTGGAAAGGGAGGGCGAGGGGCGGGGACAGCCACTGGTGGGTTCAGCCGACAGGAAGCTACAGCAGGGGGAAGAAACAGGCTGGGGTTGCCACCACCCGTTACTTCAGCCCGCCTGCACCGCCACCCCTCCTTGCACCATTACCTCATTCCAGCCGGCGAGGGCTACGCTGCAAAGTTGCAAGTTGTACGAACCTCCCTTTACAGTGGAGATTTATAACCCCACTATGAGCTGCCTGGCCAGTCCCATATTCCAGAGCTCTAGTCACAGAACTGGCCATTGCTCATCCCGGAACAGCTCCTCCACCCGAGTGCACCACGGACCACCAAAACTTTCTTGCGAACCACCAGTGGTCTGCGGACCACCGGTTGGTGACCACTGATCTATAATAATAAACCAATCTCAACAAATATTACAAAAAATATTAAACATTATCACAACTCTTTATATTGAAAGTACTAACAGATACTACAGACTAACCTATTATACCCAATTAAACATTTCGAAAGTGAAAACTATTCAAAGTAGCAATTAAACTTCAAATATGGTGGTGTGTTATGGTTTGTTGCACAGTCAGCCAGATGTTCAGACGATTTTGTATTTTTATCCACCTATCAAGTCCTTCCCAAGGACCTGGGAGATAGGCAGACATGGATGCTTGACGGTGTTGAAGGTATCCTAGCAGGTTGTAAACCCATGATGGCGAACCTATGGCACGCATGCCAGAGATGGCACGCAGAGTCCTCTGCTGGCATATGTGCCATCACCCCAGGTCAGATCTCCGTGGCGTTTCTTTCTCCCTGCAAAAGACGAAACAGAAGCTCACAAAAGAAAAATATCTTATCTCTTGCCGCGCTGCTGGTGTTGAGATGACCCACCTCTCACCGGCCAGCTGGTCTTCAGTTTCTGCTGCACATGTGTTCATGTCTGTGCACGCTCATGTGCATGTCTGTGCATGCACATGTTCACGCATGTCCGTGTTTGCACACGTGCACCTTTCAGTTTGGGCATGTGCGCATGCAGTTTGAGCACTCGGTGTCTAAAAGGTTCGCCATCACTGATGTAAGCTATTCCTAGTATAGCTGCTTTTTGCAATTGACCAAGAATGATTTTGTCAATGCCAATGATGTTTAAGTGGTGCTCCAGTTCTTTTGGGATTGCACCCAAAGCACCTATCACTATTGGTACCATCTTTGTTTTCTTTTCCCACAGTTATTCCATTTCTATTTGCAGGTCTTTATAGTTTATCTTCTCCCATTCTTCCTCTTCTATTCTGTCTTTAGGTACTGCCTGTCCATTATCCAGAGTTGTTTGTCTTTCTTATCCACCGTTAAGTCTGAAGTATGTATGTAGCAGCTACCTGTCTGTTTGAATTCTAAAGTCGCACAGCAATTTAGTTCCTTAATTTTCAGGGGGGAAATTCAGATTCAGAAAAGATGTGAAAACAGAAGACTCAGAAACAACAATAAGACAGTAGAAAAAACTTATTTCTTTTTACGACCCTGTAATCCTTTGCTTTGGAGCCAGGGCAACTGAATAGAGCTGAGCATTTACTGGCTGGATGCCCTTTCTGATGCCTAAGTAGAGTTCACAGCAGATACTTTCTGTTTGCACCCTGAGATTTTGTTGCTGCCTAGGATTGAACTCTCCTCAACCTTCTGAGTGGGAGGCAAGCGTCTTCACTTCTAGGCTACCACACCGTTCTGCCAAGATGGTAGAAAAAAACTCAGATAACAATTGGAAATTTAGAGGAAACAGCTGATTTGAACTACAGAAATGATAAGTCAAATAGACTGTTGAAGAAGAAAAGCATGCATTGTAAAATTGATTATGTAAAATACAGCCAAGCATAAGCGTTGATACAAGTTAAAAACTAGAACTTATGAATGAACAGGACACAAAACATGTATATCAAAATAAATAACATGAACAGAATGTTGGCAAAGAAAAGCATTATATGGTTTATTTCTACAAAAAATGAAGGAGAAGAAGATAAAACCTGGCAATACCTTACAACTGGAACATTTAAAAAAAATTGAAGCCTTGACTTGGCCTGCTCAAGAGCAAACTATTCTAAATAAAGCAATCAAAACCATAACTGAAAAATAATGATTCAAAGTGCAGATTGTGTAAAGAAGCATGCAAAAAAGGTACAAACTGATAATAACAACAACAGCATAACACAATCACCAAAAGGATTCACTTGAAAATCTGTAAAAAAAGATGTGCCAGTAATGAAAAACTGGTGAGAACATATTTTTAAAAAGTAGTAAAAATGAGCATGTTAAAATATTGTGGGATTTCTGAATAGAGACTGATAAAGTTTTGGCATATAACACACCAGGTCTAACTGACTGGAAAGATAATTGATGTAATACTTGGGTTTAGTAGAATAGAAGACAGAATTGGAGAAGATCACAAAGTATCAAGATCTGAAAACTGAACTTGAAAGATTAACATAAACCACTTGTGGTCCCAGTGGTTATTGACACAATGGATGCCACCTCAGAAAATCTTAGATGGCACTTTGAACATCTGTACATTGACAAAATTTCTCTCAATTACAAAAGGCTGCTTGGATCTGCACATATACTACACTGATACTTTATATCGTATGTTCAGAACTGTAGATACTTCCAAAATGGCACCTGCTTCTGGGAGGGCACAAGGCGGTACTTTGGCTGATTCTGTTTTGGAAAGGTGGTTTCTGAAAATCACCTTTTGGAAAGCATACCCAGCTGATACACCGTGCAGCCTTCCTATATAGTAGCTGCCATTCTAAAAGCTGATGCCGTTTTGGAAGAGGCCACAATTCTTGCGGCCTGTGAATTATGGCTGATTCTAGAATGGCATGAGGTGGCTTTGTATAAGGCTGTGAGGTGCATTGGCTGGGCACTCTTGGAAAGGTGATCTTTGGAA